TCCTGCTGACCGTCGTTTTTGCAATCTCTGTTCCTACAAGTTATTACCTATTCCCCACTCAGAAGTAGACGACTAGTACTATCCTGGAACAAATATATGATAAATACTGTTTAGCTGTACCACTGTCACGTGGACATCCTTAAGCTGAGTGACCAGCTGATCTTATTACTACAGATCTTTGCTGTCATATGTGTATATAATAATGTGTGTGTACATATATATCTGTGAATATATATATCTTAACGTATGTCTGTGATATATATAGATATATATGTGTATATACAGAAGTGTGAACATACATAACATTTCAACATTAACATCAACATATTATTTATAACATTAAGCAATAATAAAATGGAAATAACAATTTCTCCATTTGTACACCTGTACTTATTGAGATCGATTATGCAAACAAGTCAGTCCCTTGCCTGCTGAGGAAGGCTGACGTGAGGGGGGCTCCACTCTCAGACATCATGCTCCAGCAGACTCAAAAAACCCCATGTCAAAATCCTTCCCCTACTGCAGTTGAAAGCAAAGCTTGCCCGGACCTCAGGTGTAACTGCCAGCAAGCATGTGAATTTATCACACTGTATGCAGCCCTCGTTTACTCGAGTAAATCTTACTCGTCCAAGGGATCCCACAAACATTTGTATTTTTAGCCCAGTACAAATATGTAACACTAATCATAAGAACAGTTTACCTCAAAAAGCAGTTTCCATCCCTTCCTCCCTATGGCCTCAAAAGAGACTGCTCAGTGACATTCAGCAGCTACAAACCTCAGGCAGTCTTAAAATCCGTTCTCTGACACAAAGAGTGCTGTGAGATTCTGGATATTCGCCAGTCTTTAGTTTTGCTCTTCCAAGAGAAGCTCGAGAGAATTCAGATATTTAATTTTTCTCTGACCTAGTAAGAGCTAAAATCGCCTTCTGCTCCCTGTCTGCAAATAGTCTTGCAGTGGAGCTTTGAAGTGGCATCTACTTCGTGCCAAGACGTAAACTGCTGCCTTCTTTTCCTTCACAGCAAAACATTGCGGAGGGGAGAAACCCTTGAGATGATGCCATTTTCTGTTTGTTTTTACTCAATTTTGAAAGCCCTCTAGGCAGAAAGTATACAGCCAGTGCCCAGAGAACAGAT